GAGAGCTGAACGGGAACTAAGACATCTGGAGAGCATTTTGGAAATGTGACGCCCACAAATAATTTTCAGTTCCATATCTTGTGCTGTGGAAAGCATTCCTGGACCAGAAAACTTTGACGGCGTGCTATGGCATTGCTACGTCACACGCTTGAGACAAGGCGTGCCGTGGCATACCCAGGTCGATCCATGACCAAAAGAGGTCAGAATAACATAGGATAATATGTTCCTGGTCAAATGAGTCTGTGTCACAGGGCGGACATCGAAAGTGCCGACGTTCTGGAACATCCGATGCCGGCCTTGGGCAGCTTCTTCATCCAGCCACTCCAGGAGTGCTCGTTTCCTCGCAGTGAAGCTGCCACGGTATGCCGCCCCAACAACGAGCAAACCAGCGAGCAGAACGATATCGTGACAGAAATATCCACGGACGTATGGGGTTTGATTCCGGGAATGTCAGTGGAGCTCCAGCGCTGAGATATCTCGTGGCGGCACAGGCTGTCATGGACGGCCATGACGTTGCTGAAGTCCAGAACGTCTGTGGGTTTACCAGCTGCGTGCGTGGTGTGCTCCAATCAGTGCTCCTAGTGGCCATCGGTCGTGAGCCTATTCTGACAGTAACAACCACTCAGGCTGCGGAGATTGAACCGCACCCACACATTGGACATCACTGCAGCAAACGGTATGACAACACTGGGCAGTAGGGCAGCCACACAACGCCGACAGGCATTGTACTGCGCACGCGCGACTCTCAGCTCTGTCAGCTGAGGGCCGTTCTGGAGATATTCTCAGCGGGACATAACACTCTCTCTCGTTGTATGGCTGTCCGCCGGCGACCTGGCATGGTCTTAGCCTGCGTGAAGCGAACAGCATCCTAAAACAACAGATGCAAAATTTTCCCATGTAATGAAGGCCCTTTGAGATTGTCTTGAAATGAGCAGGCCGGTGCATGGATGTCTCACCGGCTTGCTTGGGAGCTGGCCAGGGGGGGCGTGTGGTATGTGTGTTATGGTCGGACGGCAAGCGGACAGGGATGGGCGCCCGTTCCTTTTGGCCAAGGTGTCCGTCCCGCTGCTTGCAGGACACCAGAAGCAAGGTGTCTGCCCGGCGACGCTAGGTCTGTAGAATGCCTTTGTTGGGAAGCCTTCGCGATTATGCTCCTTCTGGCTTCCGCGAATGAGATGGTGCCGTGCAATGTCAGCTTTGGCGAGGGTTCGGAATCCTGCTCTGGCACGTCGCATCAGCCACATCGGAGGCTCTGCTAGGTGCACCGCCTGGAGTGCACAGGAGGCCACTAGCTCTCAGCCATGCCGTTTGTCTCTGGCCGGAGAGACCTCAGAAGGTGGCAGCGAGACTCGGTTCTCAAGGTGCATGGGCATCGCTTTCGGGCCGTGTCCTCCTTGGCTGGCCACACTTTGTTCCTCCGACGGACGTGCGCATCCTTGTCTGTCGAGCCTTTCTGGCAGGTGCGGACGCTCTTTGTGTCGTACATCGAGGACGCCTCGTCCCTGTACGACCAGACGTGCAATTTGGACCGCGCAAGGAGGTTGAATCACCTCGCAGGGGCCTGCTCCAGGAGTTGGTCGTGGTTAGAACAACGCAGATGCACTCGCCATGGCGTAAGCCATGAGCACGGGGAGCCGAGACTTTGCAACGGCGGCCTTGCTGGCTGGCTTGACCAGAGTCGCCTCTGCACCACAATGGCGTGTCTAAAGCAGAGCAGATCTAAGCAGTTGACCAGCCTGCCGAGCGGCCTCTAACATTCCGTCGAGCCGAGTGGCGTGGTGTCGCGCGTCCGAGGACAGGCAGGGACGGTAGATGCCAACGGCCGCACGGGGATGTGAGCTTGCCGTGCTGGATCGGGACGTGCATGATGCAGGGTGGCGGCGATGATGATTAGGTGCCATGAACAGCCAGAGACGGCGGGCGGGCGGGCAGACAGGCAGCAGGGTGATGCATCACCACGGGGAGATTGGCAGTGCGGCTCAACTCACCAGGGGAGGCGGCAGCAGGCCCGGCAGGCTAAAAGGCAGCCGCGGGCAGATCGGCGTGGAGTGCAGGACCGGGTGGGCCTCTGGAGAGGGCCCGCAAACTCCACGTTTTAGGCCCCGCCATTCCATGCAGACAGACAAACGCCAGTGTTGCCCAGGTGGTGGTGACGACTCAACTCCAACGGTTCGACACAAAGGCTGCAGCGGGTGTGTCATGGTGTCCTCTGACGTCCACAGCCATCGACGCTTCAGCAACGCGAGCCCTGTGCCTCGGTAGCCTATGAGCACGCAGCATGGGCCGAATCACGGCACGGTTCAATCCAATACCACGAGCACCACCCACCCACTGGTAGTCGAGCAGCAATCACATCGAGCGTCACGGCCAGCCAAGAACAGATGACATGCCATGCTGGCGCCGGCTGGCAGTGGGTGTGTGATCGCGATGCCATCCCGCTGTCAACGACAGGCTGCTAAGCGCCCGCGGGCACGGCCTGCCCACCACCTCTGCCTTTCGCAGCCCTGTCCTCGAGCTGTGTGCCAAAGCCCTCGCCAATCAGTCAACAGGCTTCCACTCTGCTGCGTGCAAAGACCATGCTGGCTTTGGGGGGTCGCCGTGCATTGACTTGGGGCCGGCATCCCACGTGTGGTGACTGGCAGCTTGGCCGGTTTGGGCCGTTCGCATAATGCGCACCCGTGATCACGCCGCCTGCGAGTCACATCGCTGCGGGTTCGCTGGCGTGAACGGTCAGGGTCGGGTGAATAGCATCTTGTGCTTGCTTGTGAGGCCGTCACAGTTGCAGTTGCATGCAAAGGCGCTGGCGGGCGCGTCGCGGGCTCGAGGCCTGCCTCGGCGCGAAATGCAGTCAGCTGGCCATCACTAGAGCATGGCAGAACAAATCGATGGTTGCAGGGCGAGTGAGTATCGGAATGCGATCGTCTCGTCGCGGCCGTTGTCCCAGCCTCGCCACTATCAAGACCGTCCATCCTCTCATACGTGTATTCAGTCAATGTTGCACCCGCGCGGGCTGTGCGGAAGGTGCAGGCGCCTGCTCGTAATCAGCAACCATCGCCCCTCGCTCGCAGCGCCTTCCCCCCCAGCCATCCAGTCAGCATCCGGCACTCAGCTAGTAGATTCAGTACTCAGCACACCACCACCTGAATGAACAGAGACAATGCCCATTCCTACATGAACTTGGTTGTCGCCCGCATCCTTTCATGTCCTGCCTCCTGCTTTTGTTCCTCCTCCTCCCCCTCCTTTGTTCGTTTCCCAGTGCTTCCATCACCACCCTCAACCCCCAGCGAATGTCGCCAATAGACCCTGGCGCACACACCCGGCGCCCCAACGCACCCTTCATTCAGACCAACGTTACGCGCCTTCTGAGCTTGCGTCCAGTGCTCCCGGCAGCGACTTGGCGTCATATCATGCAATAGCCTCGCGGCATATCTCTGGCTGGCGACCCACCACGCCCAACCCCTTCGTGTCCGTGTGGTTTCCTCCCTGCCGTCGCTCTCAATCTGCGGCCTGCTCACCGAGGTGAACCTGCGCGAGGCACGTCCCGCAGCACGGCGTCTGCCTAGGAGCCGTTGGCTTTGTGGCCCACAGCGCATCCCTGGCGCCCCGAGGCACCTCTTCGCAAGCCAGCCAGCGCGGCCCGTGTCCTGCTCCGCTTGCAAAGCACAAGCCGGCGTCCCGCCATCCCGCTGCACTGGATAACCCTGGTCGCTGGGAGTGGGCTCATTTCGGAAACGAGTTCATTTCGCTAAAGCCCAGGCCAGTCCTGCCGCTCGCTGCTTCTCGAGGCTGTGCCACCAGGACTCCCCGGCCACTTGTTGGTGCTCAGTGACTCAGTCCGGCCCATCAGGCACAAGAACGGGCCACGAAACAAGAGTGCAAGACGCTACCTCTGGGCACTGGTCCACTAAGCCAGGGATATCCGGCATGCTACCCGGCCACCGTTCTTGCAGACACCAGAAAGCCAACCATATTGTACTACTCTCGACGCGCACACGGGAGGCAGCCTGCGAAGCCAGTCGAGCCCGCCGTGTCTCAGACTTGAGAGGCAGCCGTCTCTTTCAGCCGGAGGCAAAAACCATAAACCACGAAAGCCAATACCTGGGAAGCTCTGCAACGTCAGTGCAGATCTCTGACTCTTGCTCTGCTGCGCAAAAGACGAGGAGTCATCGTCGCGGCTCTTTATCCGCTATCGCCGGGCCAAAGTGCGAGTAGAACCTTCTCGGACCGTGTGGCTGGTACCGTCCGTGGGAGGTCCCTGCTGTGCGACAAAGACCAGCGAACAGGGCTTGTCCTCGTGAAGTCTGACTAAAAGGGCGGCCAAGGATTCTGCGTCCTTCTACAGGACGCACCCCTCCCCTCGACTCATAAGCACACCCCTACAGTCATCTCCCTGCAGTGCTTTGTGCTGCTTACCCCCCCCTGAGCCTGGGTCTTCCATCCCTGCTGCCTCGTTGGCCCCTGCACCCACACAGCCGTGAATCGCGCGTCCAACTTTTCCCAAGTGGCCTGCGGCCCAAAATTTCCAGCACCCTTTTAAAAGCAGTGCTCACCCGCACAGCAGCAACGCCGCTGCAAGTCTTTTGCTCTTTCATCTGGCTCTTGCCATACCAGTCACGACTGCAACCATCCCAACACAAACCGAGCCCTTTCACATTCACCCAGTCTGGACCAACAGAAGCGTCCAGCATCTTCCCATCGGTTCCATCAAAGGTCGACGACGGTTCGGCTTTGATGCACATCCTCCCCAGGAGATATATCTACTAGACTTTGACATGTTGGCATACCGAAGACGATTTCTCTCTCATCTTCTCGACGACATACCCAGGTGACGTGGATCACGAACATACACACAAAAACAGCAGCACAGCAGCGGCCGAGGAGATCAGCACTGAGATTCCCGGACCGCAGCCAGCGTCGCAGTGGGGGCGATCGCAAGATCTTTGGAAGTTGAGAAACACCGACCAGAGGGTGTCAGCAGGACATCGCAAGAGACAGGAAAGATGAGTTACGGGTCGCCCTACAGTTCTGGGACTCCCCTTCGCGGGGACCCAGGCTACTACTACGACGTGAACAGCCCTTCACCAACACCGTCGCCGCACCACTACCAGTTCTATCCGGCTAAGACCCCACAGCGACCAGCGACTCGGGCTCATCATCGTGGCGCCAGCAACGGCAACTTCGAGTTTCGGCCAACGACGGCCTTCTCGCCCAGGTACACGAGCACTGGCGAGTATGCCACCGGCCCCAGCCCGAAAGTGAGTTCAAGGCGAAAGCAAAGTTTCTCTCAGGACTCGCGTTATTATGAAATCCACCACCCTTCGAGGCACGAGCGCCGCCACTCGCACTCCTATTATCGGGCTTCCCCTGGGGAGTCCGACGAGGACGAAATCTTCGAGGTTGATGGCATCACTTATGTGTTGCCAGCGCAGGCCGGCCGTCGCAGACACCACAATCATTATCATCACCATCATGACAACCAGCACCGCATGTACCCTCACATTCCGGCATATGGAACTGATGACTACTACTATGCGCAGGGTTTTCCTACATACCATGAGAAGACGGAGTCCCCTCGCTATGATGATGTCCCTGCCCGCTCCGCAACACGGATCGGTCACCACGCCCCGTCGCGTTCACACAGCCGTCGACCCTCGGAAGCCTCTCCCAACATTCAGCGCTCCGCCACTGCGAAGCCGTCCATGAAGCAGCAGAAGAAGACGACACCCGTAGCCAAGGCCACGGAAGCCGATGCCCGCAGGCACAAGATCCCAGCTGGATATTCATTGAAGAACTGGGACCCCTCCGAGGAACCGATCATGCTGCTAGGCAGTGTCTTCGACGCCAACTCCCTTGGCAAGTGGATCTATGACTGGACCGTCTATACCCATGGTCCATCCAAGCCAATCTCCGATATGGCTGGTGAGCTCTGGCTGCTGCTCATCCAGTTGTCAGGCAAAGTCAAGAGGTCCGAGGATATCGTCCCCAGGATTCGCTCCAAGGAAAACCGGGACCTCGTCGAGGACTTCATCTTGAGCGGCGAGCGTCTCATGGACAAGCTACGGAGCCTGCTGAAGCGTTGCGAGGCCCCAATGCTCAAGGCGAGCAAGCGCAAGGAGTCGGCCCAGCTCGGCAAGAATTCTGGCACCGAGTTCGTGGACACTCTGTTTGGTGTTGACCGGGAGTTTGAGAAGACCGAGAAGTTCATGCAATCCGTCCGGCTCTGGAATCTCCGATTCGACGCCAACTGTGAGGAAATCCTCAAGAAGCCCACCGTTTAGACCTTGCCGGATCCACCTTGGTTTTCTTTGTCATGCCATGATGGGACGGCCCCGAGGCCACCGTGAGGCAACACAATTACAGTCACATATCACCTACCACACACACACCCCCAACCACACAGCGCTGAAGCGCACATAAAACCATGGAGGGACCACCTACACTCGACGTCTTTGTACAGTATTGAGCGCGGACCTCCCGTCTCGGTCACTATTTCTTTGGAATCCCTGGACCCCCGGACCCTTTCATGTTTGGAGTCTCCCATTTCCAGGATTTCCATTATTTTCTATCAGACTATATCTCGCCTCAGGGCACGACCACCTGCATCGAGTTGAGAAGGAGATGATTTCTTTCTTGTCTTTATCCGAGATACCCCGAACGGAGCGGAGAAAAGCAGCGATGGCGATGTATATCACGAACCCGTGTGGGAGCCGCCGACGGAGGGCCGAGCAGATCCGATTACGAAGCACTTGGGACGGAATAGAAAAAGCTGGATGCGCTTTGTTTTGGAGGATTGATTATTGCGGGCATTGTCTTTTTTTTCCGCACGCGCTGCGTGTATTTGTTTCAGCAGCACGGCCGCGAACCTCCACAGTCTCTGTATTCAGATTGCTGTTATAGGGAGCTTCACGAAGCGGCGAACTGTTTTGTCCGGCTATATTTATCAACGCCGGCAGCAGTCGACATCACCAGATTGTCTTAATGGGTCTTTGGTACGCTCGGGCGATGGGATCACTCTTGTCACACGCAATGCCGTCGAGTTTCTGAAGGCATCGCACGGCGTTCACAGTTGGATTGTCTTTCTGTTTCTGGGACATGGATCACTTTTTATCGTTTGTTATAGAGCTTCTCGCCGGATCAGCGAGATTATGGATCGTACGGGCTGGATATACCCCTCTTACTTTTATTTTTCTTCCTCTGAACAATATCTGCGATATTTCTTGCGCCTTAGGATAGCTTGCCTTTGAATTCACCGTAATCTGCTTGGTTCAATATCATGTGCATTCTGCGCGTGCCGTGTGCATGTCTTCGGAGGTCACTATTGCGTATTGCGTAGTGTTCGACCCAGAGGTAGATAACCAACACGATGCTTCCAGATTCCTTCCAGAACTTCTTTTTCACCCCCGTTCATTCTCACAATACGGGCCCCACTTGGATGGGGTGCCGAGCTAGCTTCGCTATGTACCCGTGAACACTGGCGCCTCTGGGATGGGATGCGGAGATTGTTTGGAAAAAGATTGGAGCTATTATCATAAGACCCCCGGAACGGGCAGAGACGAAACAAATCTACACACTGCCACTTATATATCGAGCCATTTCATTGGTTACAAAAGAGGCAACAGCCGCTTTCAATATTTACGAGCAGGGTAGTCGTATGTACAGATTGTTTGTGTTGTTGGCGGTGTCTCGGGGGTAGGGGCGTTGTGTGTTGTGGCCTCAAAGCCCTTTGTTTACAAATTAAAAGACAAGGGTATGTGTGTGTGTGTGCTCTTTGTTTACTTTTGCAGCGGCCCACGAGGGCAATATCATCTTTTTTTAATCCAAGATTTCTGGAAATTCCTCCATCCTCTTCCTGTCCCCACAACACACACACACGAAGGCCGGGGTCTCGGGGAATGGGAATTGGGCGCACCGGCATGGTGTCGTCTTTGTAACAGGATGAGCGGTCTGACCTCTTTTTTTTTGTCTCTCTCTCTCTCTGGCCCTGCTTTCTGTGTGTGTATGTTTTTTTTTGAAGTGTTTCCGACACGGGCAGGCAACTCTGTGCGGCTCCGATGGATGGCCCTGCCAGCCCGCCCGTTGGGCAGCGATGCGCAAGCTCACGCGCGCGCGGTGTGTGTGTAGGTGTGTGCAAGGTGTGTAAGTAAGGTGTGTAAAAGTGTGTGCAGGTGTGCATGTTTGTAAGACGGCGTATGACTCTTTCCCTCTTGTGCGTGCGTGAGCGCGTGCTTGTTAAGTTATGCAGTGCCGACCTGGGCTCCGTGTATGTGTGTGTGTGTGTGTAGTGTAGGTATGTGCGCGCCTCATGTGTGGCAGGGCTCGGCAGGCAAGCATCCTTCAAGGGTACTAAGCCCCCGGAGCCAGAGATGGGTCATAATAATCATAATAATAACATCATCATCATCAATGTTGAGAGACCAGGGTTTGAGTCGAAGGACGTGTTTGGGTCGTTGATGCCCAAAGCCAGGGCTGTGCACTGGGGGTCGTCGGGCGGCGCCTGGTGGTGGTGGTGGTGGTTCACCACAGCCCAAGCAAGCTGGTCTCTGCACGGAAATAGGGACCGGGGGCTCCGACGATGCGAGTTTCCCTTTTCTGCCCTCGCCTGAGGGGTCCTTCTGAGAGGAGGAGATAATAATAATAGCGGGTTGCACTTTGGGCTGTCCTGGTTTTAGGAGCGCTCGAGGTGAATTCCCACTTCTTTCTGGAAAAAGTTTGGGGGTCACGGTTGCGCCGCGTTGTGGTGGTTTCGCGCCTGGACTGGGTTGTCTGTCGGATGGAAGGCTGCCTGGTGCAGTTGCTTGGTATCCCAAACCGGCCGTGCACAGGGAATTCTGTTTCAACCAACCGAGGACCAGCGACCTGAGCTTTGGTCAATCGCAATCTCGTGCTGGTCAGGGTTCCATAATACTCTTGCGAAATATTGCACTTCTTTACGAGGACGCCGAGTGTAAGTCCCGTCAGTCATTATGACGCATTTCTGCGGTGCCGCTCTCCGCGTGGATTCATGACCATCGCGGCGCTTTCCTCTTCCTCTTTTGTTCTTTCTTTGACAATCAATTAATCTGCTGTGGTTGTCGTGCCGTGCCTGGGATTTATTTATTGCATGTTTGTGTGCGACGCGCGTGCACGTGTCACTTTACTCAGCCGCGTTGCTTCGGGAGGGCGGGAGTCTCAGGGCATTCCTGGGTTGCTCTGTTGCCGAGATTGCTTGGTTTCAGTGGTGGTATGTGCTATGGCCATGGGGTGTGGTGTGGTGGTGTGGCACTCAGCTTCAGGCCGTGTCATCAGACAACCGAAGATGAGCCAAACCGACCAGTCAGGTAATCTGGCGCTCATTCCGCATAATAATGCACACGCACACACATATTTTCAACCGGATATTATTGGGAGAAAATTCAGGTTTCGGAATATGCCAAAATTAGGGTCACTCGAGCATCGTGGACGCCCTGCAGCATCAGCCAGTGGTTCAAAAAAAAAAAAGCAAGGCAAACGCAGGGACACAAACTGGCGGTGGACAGAGAGACAAGGCCAGCAGCACGCAAGTGGACGCAACAGGGCGATCTTGTGGGGAGAAGAACAAGCCGTGCCATTGGTAAAAGTCTGGGTTAATGAGAAGGCACGCACATGTGAATGAACCTCGCCCAGCCCGAGTTTCACGGTGACGGCCTTGCCCTGTCAGACCTCTTGCGGATCACACTCTGCAATTGGTAACTAAGCTCAGGGGGGCTTTTGCTCACTTCTCTAAAGATGTGGCGTGAATCGTGTCAGTGAGCCGCATCTGCGAAACGCTAGCCTCTCAGCCGGGCGAGAGACCAATTATCCAAAGTGTTCGGCGCCACGGTCGCTCTCAACGGCGCCATTGTTGGCTTGGAGCTAAAGCCTTTCGTCCAGACTTTTTCAACAGAATGTGCGGGGACGGCACACTTTCTTGAAGGCGTCAATCTTTCCCCAGTCTCGGTACGGAGCAAGCACGCCTTTTCAAAGAAGGCGTCTCCACTGATGGACCCCCCCCTTTTGCGCCTCGTCCAGGCAAGTGAATGACGAGGTGGAGGCGTTGGGAACGCCTATATGAATGGGATATGTATCGTTTCGGCACGAATCCGCGTGGCTGGGTGGCAAAAAAGTATCCCTCAAGACTCGGGCGAGGCGCGAGGTCGGTGACCGCATGAATGGCTAACGAAACAATCATCTGCTCGTCACGTTGCTTTTCCTGCCCGTTGACTCAGCTGCAAGCAGCCTCGGGACATCATAGGCAGAGTAAAACTTTTTTTCGACCACTCGAGGTGCGTGCCCGGTGCGTATGCAGGTACGTGCGGGCACTCACGCACCACACGATATTGGCAAGGCTGTATCTCCTTCTTCGTGTTGTTGGTGCCGCCCGTGTGAATTTTGTCTGCTTGCCTTGTCCTTGCACGCCGCCTGGCCGCCATCCTCATCCGACGACGCGTGCGATCCATTTGGGAAATTTGCCGGTGACACAAACATGTGGCCTCTACTCCATATTTATCATCATGGGTGGCATGGATCAAGCAGAGAACAATGGGCCTGCAGGGGACGGGGGCCAGATGGAACGGCCGCCGGACGGGTCGGCCAGGGGCTCGCCCAGGGGCCGACAGTCCGTGAACAAGGGCGGGCGCGCCGGCGTGGAAGGCTCAAGGAAGGGTGGGAATCCCACATGGGAAAAGGGGGGGCTGGTTGGAGGGAAGAACTCTTGGGAAGCAGCGCACTGTCACTCTACTCTCGGGGAGACAGGGATGCAGAGGGAGAGTGGAGACGAGGGGGCGTGGCTCTATCTACCCTCACGGGCTGGCCGCAGAAGGGCTTCATGGGTGCAGTTGAAGTGAACATTGTTCTAAACTGCTCTTATCGTGGGCCCCAGAGTTGGCGCCAGCGGGCGGAAGCCCCGGAAGCCTAGCGGCTAAGGAACAAAGACTCACCTTAGCCACAAGACCGGGGGGGGAGCCGTGGGAAAGAGCTTCACAGAGTTGCCTGTTTTGGGTTTGCGGGTTTCTGGTGACTGGCCCAGCTGAAATGAGGTACTTCTAGTGCACAGGGTGCGGCACTGTGGCAGAGGCTGGCGCGCCGATGAGCGATTTGTGTTCCAGTTAATAAGCAGTTAGTCGAGAGAACATTATGCTGTCCCTGTTGCGATTAGGGTATTCGGTCGAAACTGGCGACGAAACGATCCAGGCGGCAGCAGTAGGGCAAGTACCTCGCAATCACATGTTTCTTGCATGCAGATGTGTGCGTTGTATGCCGACGATTCTGGCACCTGTGGGATGTGATCATTGTGCCGTCAAGATCTCCAAAGCGAGGGATAGTAAAGTTGGTCGCAGTCCTAGCTCTGCAGAGATGGTAGAGATCACAGATGCTCGCAGCAGTCTTGAGCCATAATCCTTTGCACAGTCGGAGGAGCCAACGTGCAGCTCACACTACTGCCGCAGAATCCCATGTCCTGCATGCCATGTGTTCGTTAAGACTAGTGGCTTGACCTCTCCCATCCTTCTGCTTGCCGTCTACAAAATCCTCGTGTATCGTGAAACGGTCATGCTCGACAGTAAGCTGTTCTCACCCGCGGCCCTTGATCGCAACGTGTCAAAATACTTCTTCTCCCCCATGCTCAACGACCTTCAGTGGTCCAGGCTTCTTTCTTGTAGCAGAGCGAGGTACTGCCAATCAGTCCGTTCCCCGTTGCTGGATGGTGGTGCGGCAGCCGCCTGCACACAGCATTCGGCGCCACGCGCTTTCGTGCGTCCGAGGAGAGCTGGCCAAAATAGGAATGCGGGCTGGGGTTACATGCTGCGTCCTCCCGCTGGGTTGGGAAGTCGTTCGGCGGGGTGTCATTTGTCAACCACATTGTTTAGCATCATTGGGTGGCCGTGTGTGCACGCGTCCACCCTGGATTACTTGATAGGGTCGCATCCGGAACCCGAATTTGGACTTGCGGGTGGCTGCCTGTCATTGTTGGATGTGCTGGCAACGGCCAGCGAGAGCAAACATGTATGTATGCATGCAGCCGCGATGGCCTTGACGTGTTGTTGTTTCTGCCCAACGCAGTACATAGTATGCCCGCTCATGTCTGTCTGAATGCCATGGACGACAGCAATGACAACAACACAGCACAAAGCGAATGCCATTCATTGTGCGGCTGCGAATAACGGCATCCAAAATGGCCGTCACTCAGCCCTTCCCAGCACAGGATGTCCGCTTCTCCAAGTCCAAATGCAGCCCAATGGTTTGCGCAGTGCATGCATACCCGATCCGTTCGCACATACACACCCGACTTGCGTCATTGTAGTAGTGTACGCTGAGTGCGTCGGTCGACAGGGTTGTCAGACGTGCATGTTGGCACACAAAAGGGTGACATGCGCTGCTGCGCGCTGCTGCTGGCCCCCGGGCAGCCAAAAATAGCCGCCCACTTACAGACATGCAGCATGGCGGCAGCAGGACGAGGCGAGCAGGCAGCTGTCCTCTGGTGCGACCGTATATGTATGCACTGCGCCGTGCGGGCTTACGAGCGTGCTCATACGTTGTGCATTTCTCGTCCTCGCTGAGCGTTTCCCGGCTGAGCTGATGACCGTGATTCCTAAGACTTCACCTGGCAGTCAGTCTGCCACAGCCCCCAATCGCAGGTTGGACGTAGATGTAACAGGGCGAATGACGAGGAGACCGTGGGGGTACTTTCAAGCTTTGGCCCCAGGGCCCCCACGCTTCGCCCTTGTGATCTTCAGGATAGACATCTGCAGGCATAGAAGCAAAACTCGAAACCCCCCATGATTTAGTAAGAAACGTGGGGTATTGATGCCTACGCCACGAGGCGCAGGCCCATGTCAGCAGTGTAGCTAACGTGTTCATTGTGCAACTTGGCTTCGCTGACAGTAATTGTGCAGATCATATCAGGAACCCCATTTGCGGATGAGAACGCAAAAGAGAGAATGACGCTTGAGCGATGGGGGACGTGGTCATGATTTAATGCCATTATTGTCAAGCCGATGTTACCAAATACTACACGGTGAATAACAACTTGAAGATATCGTGTTTGCATGAAAGCATATTCAATTCCAACAAGGTTAACTCCGCAGCTACCCTGGGCGCCTTGCAAGGTCTGCTCAACATCAATGCTGTTGAAGAAACCCTCCGATTACAGCTTCCTTCTATTGGGGGGGATTTCTAGGCATCTTAGTACCATGATAAGATGACTCGTACATACATCATTGCAATGAAACATCTGTCGAGACTTTTCAACCACCAGCTCCGTGGTTGTGTATCATTCTGTCCTCATATCGCTCAATGCCGCAGCCAAGTTGGCCATCTCCCTTTTCAGCTTTGTGCGATGTTTCTTTGTGGTGCCCGACTCCCCGGCGATTCGAGACAGTTCCTCAGGCTCTAATCCAAGAACCCAGTCATGGTTGAGAACCTTGAGAGGACTCGAGAAGCCGTGTAGGAGGCTGAAGTCGATGACCTGTTTGTAAACATTGTCGACGAAACGGTCCAGAGCCACCTTGTAATATGCGCGAAGGATGTCATGGATTCTCCTCTGGATCTGCTGCGGACTTGCGAGACTACTGGCGGTCTGCTCGATCGCATTCAGACTCACAACGAGAGAAGGGCCCTTCGTATGTATGATTGTCACGTCTCGCGAGCGGACGCATGTGCTCGACTGTGCGGCGCTGGTCGGACTCCGCCAAAGCCCTTTGATAGGTCTTGTTGACCGTGTATGGTCTTCCATGCCGTTCAACGTCGACCAGATGTTTCGCCGTGGCAATCGCCTCTTTATATCCGTCGACTACCCTTCCCAAAATCGTGCTCCGTATCTGGTTTCGCACCTGTGACTCGGGGCAAGCGCTTTCCAGCGCAGCGAACAAGAAGCGGTGAATGATGATGATGACTCTCGTCACATAGCTCATTGTGAGACTTTCCCATTTTTGCGACTGCTTGGCGAAGGATAGATCGATCAATTTCGGATCAAATCCTCCTAGAACAAGCCCCCTGGACTGATAGTAGATCTCGTCAATTCGTTCGCTGATGCCGGGAGCTGGCGGCACTAGGTTCTGCACTCGACCCTCAACTACTTCGGCAAGATTCATCCTTTCTTGGTCGGTGATGTCGTCGACACCGGTTTGTAGAAGAGTAGCATATAGGCGATCCATGGGTGCCTCAGCTGAGTCGGCGGAAGGCTCGTCTACAAAGTTCGCGCCTGGTCGTTCACTTGGCGGAGTCCGTGTAGTTTCAAATTCCCAACAATGACCGCAGTCCGCGCGTTCTCGACCGAACAGATCGGTAAGATTCGTGATGTGTGATCATGCGTAGCTCCGGCCTGAAGAAGCCCTCGCCATATGTGTAGTCCGCATTCAGACCAGCATCGACGAGATGATTGAACTTGGCAACGATCGAGCTGAGGTAGCTCCGTTGCTCGCGCTCCAGTTGTCGTGGCGGCCCGAGCTCACCGATGCGCTTCTCGCAGCTCGAGATCTGAGCGTTGATGTCTCGTATCAAGCTGGGGAATTCGCGTGCAGTGATCTTAAGAAGGAGTTCCCCCAATCGTGACTTGAGTGCTGCAATGCCGACATGCTCTTTGGGCAGAGAACTCCAGGCAGGCGTATTGAAGAGCGACTGGTCCAGCTCAGCTTCTGTGATGGATTCTTCGTCCTCACTTTTGTTGCGCACGAGGATGTATCCCAAAGCTAATGATCGCTTCTCACCAGACATTATATTATCGCAGATCTCTCTCTGTAGGCTTGGCTCGGACACCAGGTCGGGCTTTGTCAGTACACCCAGGGTCCGTTCCCCGTCCGCGTCGTACTTTTCGGCCAACTCTAGGACTTCTTGGGCAGCGAATTCCGCGTTGCATGGTAGCACTGCCAAGATGACAGTCCTGGAATCTTTGATGTAACGCCTGACCATGGTCCGAACCACTTTCATGTCGTCTTTGGAGATGCCCTTGGTTCTTGTGCGAAAAATCCCCGGCACGTCGATGATGGTTAGGAAGTCCTGACTGGGACCATAAACCTCCACCTTCAGCACGTGCTCGCTGAAAGCTTTACAATTGCCGTTGGCAGTGTCGGGTCCTAGCCCCATCATGTCGCGAGCCTTTCAATATTGGCATTTTAGCGTACGTTTTGAAGACGAAAAGGAACGAAAGAAGTCACTCTGTAACTGACCGCTGTAAAGATGTCTAGGAAATTCCCATTGAGCTCCGAAGTTGACTTCAGGGTCTTTTTGAACGATTTCAAATGATTTTGATGATCAAGCGATGCTGAAGGTCCAGCCTCAATGGAAATGACAACGGATTCCTGATTTTGTCTGCGTGACATGATTCGGGTTGCGTGACGGGTGACAAGAGACGTTCCCCTTGGGAAAGGAATGCCCGTGATGCTCTCAAGAAGCGAGGATTTGCCAGAACTTTGATCGCCCACGACCACCAACTATTACGGTTATTTTCATTTGTGTCAAGCCAGCGAGATTGAAGATTGAGTACCTGAGGCAAGGGGATGTCATTGTGAATATTACGATCCCTGAGCTTGTCGATCTTCTCAAGAAGCTTAGGGCTTGTGATGTGGTTGGCTGGGACCTTGATGGCCATTCTGGAAACCGAGGAACCGAGAAGGTGCTGGGGGAGAGATCTTGGATTGCTGAAACGGAGGGTCAGATGCTTGTAGTGAACTGTTTATAATTTGTGTGAGAACCTCGTTCTCTCTCTCCACCAAGAGCTTGAGACCAAGCGGGCTTTTGTTGACTTTTCACACTGATCTAGAGTTTTTAAAAGCCAAGGAACCTTTCATCCAGGATCGCTTCCACTGGTTGACCGATGCGAGGCGGACGCGAGACCTTCCGGGTTAAGGGAAGAGCGCCTTGAACAAGCTGCCCTCTGATTGGCTGAGTTTGAGGCCAGAATGCTATTGGGATGGCGATTCAGGCTGCCAAATGCATGCAGGACACTGCTCTGCATTCTTGCCTACAAGCATGACGCGCTGTCCTCCGATTGCCATTGCTCGATGTGCCGAGTTGGCAACCGCCGGGCATGGCAGCCAGGGGAGTTGCTCTGATGGGTGATGCCCATTGGCTAGTTTTGAGGCCGGACCCGCCAGCCAGCATGTAAGGATGAGACGTCAGGCGTTCTGGTTCGCAACCGCCAACATTGAGCATTGGAGAGGGGTTTGAAGCCTTGTGGGCGGGCCTTGATCATTTCACCGAAGTTTCCAGAAAGACTGCTATCATGGCTGATTTGGTCAGCATTGATTAGGGCGATGTGATGGTATTTAGGGGAGACTTGGGGCCTCGTTTGATTCTGTCGTCTCAATACAAGAGCCCAACACAGTCCTGGGCCGTGGCACTCTTTGAGACGCCCGGGACTGGGTCGCATCACTCATTATTCCAATTACCCTTTCTGGGGTCTTCTGTGCCTTCGGCAGGAGACCATCCACCTCGCAAACTTGCCAAACAAGAAGCATAGCAGACATCGACGTCACACGAGAGACAATACACCTCTTTCCCAGCTAAGAGACCCTGATCCTGCGGCGCCCTCAACTGCCGATCTTGAGGCCCCCTTTTGCAGCGAATATGCGGTTCGTGATGAGAGCAGACCACAGTCTTTGCCTCAATATGACCAGCTGCCTGCAAGGCCCTCGCCTTTTGCAGTCCATGACGGCTTCGACATCTTTGGCAATGAGTTAGAGATCTCCGACACCACCAGCCATGACGACTATCTGGCTTCATCGGCTGCTTGCTCCTTTCCTCCTCACAGCCCCATCGTAGACAACGATCACCCTTGGGATGAGTTCCGACAAATTCCTCCTGCCGAACAAGCACCTCTCTGCAACATGCCGTCGCAGAAGTCAGTCTGCCAACATTTTTGCAACATCTGTGAGACAAATCATGTGGATGCTCGCACCTTGCAGCGTCACCTTGAGAGCACACACAGACTCGGGGAATGTTACTGGGAATGCACAGTTAAACACTGCTCGCTGTACCGCAAGCCGAACTTCCGGAAAGACAACATGCGTAGACACTACAGGAAGAAACACCCAATGATCGACATCAAGAAGCTTGGATTGTAGATGTATGCAGCAAAGTCTCATTGTACATGATGTCGACAGCCCAAGAGACCTACGAGGATCGTGGGTCCCTGGTGCTAGACCTGTCATGCTGCCTGAAGGCTTGCTTGCCTATTGGTTGAAGTTCGACCCAGCAAGCGAGACGAGAACGTTCAGTTCGAGGACGATGGCTGGACGACAACTGCTTCAAATAGCGTCACCCTCAGTCTAAGCATATATACCATTGTCTAGAGACCTCCTGGTTTTCCGCCCTGGCGCAGCGCCCATGATGCGTGATGAATGACCCTTGGCATGGGCAAGACAAAAGGGTTCAAATCTAATGCTTCAACCACATCATCAACAAGTCCCAGCATTGACACAAGCACCTCTTCCCACAACACGTTGTGGTGGCTGATTCAGCTTATAAAAAACCAAGCGCGATTCTGCTCACGTCGACGGCAACACAACACCCAAACCGCCAACCACATCCGCCTTAATCTCAATGCCCGCTTTCCGCAACAGCTCGTTCGCCCTCCCGCTCGCCGTGGGATCAATGAACTCGACGCTCTCGACGATCTTGATCTCCTCCAGCCTCTCCTCGGGCTCGCCGCTAAACTTGAGCGTCCAGATCAAGTCATTCTCCACGACCTCCCTGTGCGCCTCGGCCTTGCCCTCCTCCGCGATGGTCGTCAGGAAGTAGCTCATCCAGATCGTCGCGAGGCGCTGGTGCTCGTCGACCATGATGCTGTGCACCTTGCCCGGGCACGAGATGAGCAAGGAGCCCGTGGACTTGAAGTGTGCGGCGAGCCCCTCGTTTGTCAGCTCATGCCGCAGCGAAGGGTGCTGCGAGAGCGCGTGCGCGTGGCCCCATTTGTGTATCGCAGAGGAGTGCCGGATGGCAAACAGGTCCCGCCCGGAGGCGTGCTGCGAGGCGAGGGAGTAGAGGTGGTCGTAGAGTGCCGACGGCATCTTGGGCCTCTGATTGTGCCGCGTGGATTTGTTCAGTTTTGATTTCGAAAATTTATCGATTCCTGGGAATCTGGCACACGGCTGGGAAGTTGCGAGGTTGTGGCTGGTAGTTGGAACAAGGTTACCTGCCAATGCCTCTTTGTTTCGTAGGTGCGGCCGGTTGGGGAAAGCTGACGCTGGAATAGACTTTGCCCACGGAGAAAACCTGGGTCTGTCAACTTCGTCATAGGGTAATATAGGGCAGATTCAACCGCCAAACAGCCTCCCCGCGTATACGGAATGGGCTGTGTGAGCATGGTCTACAGAGCATGGCTCAGAATGGTGTCATCTACTGGTGCCGGTGGGGCAGATAACAAACAAACCCTGTCAGCCCGCTCATCTTACAAAGCTCCGCCCAGAACGGCAATGCCCTCAGAACAAAAGCCTACTAGGCCACGGGGCATCAAGCGAAATTAAACCCGTGCCTCCGCCAGGGAGCGAGTTTTTGGTATCACTCTATATCACAACAAGCAGGCATCCTTACCAAATTTAGTCATCACAGTCTCGGATGAGCACGAGGATTTTCGAAACATTATTAAATTAACTCGCCATGTCGTCAATAAATGGCGAAGCCGGAGCGCATTCATGCCAGAAGAAGAAGTTGACAAAAGAGAAAAACGAAACAAGAAGATGTGCCTTATGTACCAAACCGTCGACTATCCAACCAAGCGCTGAAATGTAGAAATACACAACTAAAAGGAAGATGGCACTTGACCGCCTGACGCCTCACGGAAGTGGGGACCTTGTCAGCTGATGCAGAGCTCGGCCTTGTGCTCCGAACGTCGCCGGAGAACCTTGAAGACCTGCATAGGGCGCGGACCAGTGCAAGCGTCCTGGTGTCTCCGGGCCGTCGTTGACGTGGTGTAGACTGACGTGCGCGACTCGTCATGAAGCGAATTGAGACGTTACAACAAAGAAAATAAGACCCATTTTGGTGTTCGTGATGACAAAGGAAAGAGAAAGTGCAAGTCCGTCACTGGCTTTTTCAAGTATGGTTCTGGCAGCGCGCGCCGTCGTTACTGTTGCCGGCCGGGCCTGTAGAGATCTGAGTAGCGGTGGGTGTTATGCCTGGGCCCGGCAGCGTAAACTTGTAGATGGCGCCGCTAGTGTTTTCCGAGGCATAGAAACTCAGGTCGTTCGAGGAGTAAGCAGCACCCCAGGTCTGATCACCCGCCAATATGCCATAATTGGCCTGCACGGTGAGTGCTTTGGAAACGAGGTCGAAGCGGACAAGGACCGTGCTTGCGCCAAGGAGGGCGGTGTTCTTGGTGACACCCCACATGTACTGCCCGGAGCCGGGGACGTAGGTCCAGTCGATGATGTTGTTGATGCCCAGAGTTGACAACAACGTCATGGTGCCTTGGGCAACCTTGGTGAGGTACGTTGGTGAATTGGGATTGAGGTCGACCTGGATCCACGTGGTGCCGTACGACGAGCCCCAGTATTGTAGGTTGTTGTCAATATCACCGGTTGTAATGGTCGCTGTGACACCAAGACTACCAAGCACGACGGCATCACCATTTGCGCCGAAGCGGACGAGGAAGACGCTTGAACCAGTCCCAATGGCACCATAAATGACGTTCTCGGTAGGGTGGTAGCCAATGGCGTTGATGGGCCGTCCATCGCCGACTAAAGTGTCGATGACGGTGGCGACTCCAGTGTTCACGTTTACTCTGTACAGGGTCGTGGTCTGAATCAGGTAAGCGAACTGGTCGCAGCTGAAAGACGGCACTGGAGTCTCCACGAGGAGCGTGCCGGCGGCGGTTCCACTTGGAAGGATTGTCGTCGTTGTGGTGACAGAGCCGGTGTACGCCTGAGTCGTGGTGACATAGCTGGCCGGGGTCTGCACAATGATGGTGCCTTGGGTGGTCCCCTGAGGCTGCACAGTTATGGTGCTTGTGCCCACGCTGTTCAAACCATTGGTAGTCACCGTTGTGTACCTGGCTGACGTGCGCACGAGGACTGTTCCGGGAGCCGTGTTTGTCTGCGAAATCGTCGTTGTTCCCACAGGACCAGTGGTGACATACTGTGTCGAGGTCACATACGAGGCCGGGACCTGCACAACGACGGTGCCAGGAGTTGGGTCCGTCTGCGGAATCGTGCTGGTGGTAGCAGTTGCGGCGCCATATTGAGTCGACGTGATGTAGCTGGCAGGTTGCTGCACAATGACAGTGCCGGGGGCTGGGTTCGTCTGCGGAATTGTTTGTGTCGTGGCCGAGCCTCCAGAGGCATAACGGGTCGTCGTGACATAGCTGGCTTGCACTTGGACCACGACGGTACCAGGAGCCGGGTTGGTCTGCGAGACTGTAGTCGTGCCGGCAGAAGAAGCACCAAACTGCGTGGTTGTGATGTAGCTGGCCGGCACTTGCACAACCACTGTACCGGGAGCTGGATTCGTCTGAGAGACCGTCGTTGTCGTGGTGAGACTGCCTGTGACATATCTTGTCTGGGTGATGTAGCTGGCCGGCACTTGGATGAGAACGGTACCAGGGGCCACATTGGTCTGCGAGACGGTCGTGGTGGTAGGTGAACCCGTTCCATACTGTGTCGACGTGATATAGCTGGCGGCGACTTGGACGACGACCGTTCCAGGGGCTGGATCTGACTGCGAGATAGTCGTTGTCGCCGCGGTACTGGCTCCGTACCGTGTCGTCGTCAAGTAACTAGCAGCAGGCTGAACAATGACTGTGCCTGGTGCCGCATCCGACTGTGGGATTGTGGACGTCGTCGCCGAAGCAGCACCGTAGCGCGTCGTAGTCACATAGCTGGCAGGTACGTCAATGATGACGGTTCCGGGAGCCGGCCCAACCTGCGAAACCGTGCTTGTGGCGGACGAGGACTGCCCGAAACGCGTCGTTGTTATGTAGCTTGCAATCAAGTCCACGATAACGGTCCCTGGAGGAGCGGCGGTCTGGGAAATTGTCGTGGTAGTTCCGGTAGATCTTCCATATCTTGTCGTTGTGATGTAGCTGGCCGGAACCTGGACGACCACAGTGCCAGGCGCCGAGTTCGTCTGCGAGATTGTTGAGGTTGCCGCGGTAGTGGCACCATACTGAATGCTGGTGACATAACTAGCAGATACTCCCACGAGGACGGTACCAGGTGCTGGGTCCGTCTGCGATACTGTCGTCGTTGTTGCTGCGTTGCCATACTGCGTGGTCGTGACATAACTTGCTGGAGGCTGGGCCACCACTGTGCCGGGGTTCTGGTCGCTTTGAGGTACGGTGAAAGTCGTGCCACTGGCTGCACCGAAGCGCGTCGAGGTGACGTACGAGGCAGGCACATCGACGATGACGGTACCAGGTGCTGGACCGACTTGGGACACGGTCGTCGTTCTGGAAGTGGAAGCACCGAAGCGGCTTGATGTGACATAGGAAGCTGGAACTGCCACAATGATAGTGCCTGGCGCGCCCGCCGTCTGGGAGATGGTGGTCGTAGCAGCCGCTGAAGCGCCATACTGGGTCGTGGTGATATAACTCGCGGGTACGGCGACAACGATGGTGCCCGGCGCTGTGCCTGTCTGCGAGATGGTAGTAGTGGCGGCAGTGGTACCGCCGAACTGCGTGCTTGTGACATAGCTTGCCGGTGGCTGAGCGATGACGGTTCCAGGATTCTGATCACTTTGCGACACAGTGAAGGTTGTGCCGCTTGGCTGGCCAAATTGGGTCGACGTGACGTAGCTGGCAGGGACCTGGATAATGACTGTGCCAGGGGCCGAAGCAGTCTGCGATATTGTCGAGGTGGCGGAGGATGGCTGCCCGTAGATTGTGCTTGTGACGTACGAAGCTGGCAGAGCCACGACAACTGTGCCAGGAGCGCTGTTGCTCTGGGACACCGTGTACGTTGTACCCGTTGCTTGGCCATACTGGGTTGAGGTGATGTAGCTTGCTGGCACCTGCACCACAACTGTACCTGGCGCAGGGCCGACTTGCGAAATGGTACTTGTCGCAGCTGTTGTAGCGCCATATCTTGTGGTCGTGACATACGATGCAGGAACGCCGATGATGACGGTGCCTGGGGCGTTATTGGTCTGGGACACCGTCGTCGTTGTGCTTGACGGCTGTCCAAACTGCGTGGAGGTCACATAACTGGCGGGCACCTGGACCACGATGGTACCAGGCGCGCTGTCGCTCTGCGAGATCGTGCTAGTCGCGGCCGTCGTGGCGCCAAATTGAGTAGAAGTGGCGTATGATGCCTGCGGGCCGACGATGACAGTGCCAGGCGCAGAATCGCTCTGGGGTATCGTGAAAGTCGTGCCAGTGGGGCGACCGAACTGTGTGGAAGTCACATAAGAGGCTGGAGGGCCGACGATGACTGTACCCGGTGCAGAATCGCTCTGCGGAATCGTGAATGTCGTGCCAGTTGTGCGTCCGTACTGCGTCGACGTCACGTAACTGGCCGCCAGTTGGATCACGACGGTACCAGGTGCAGCGCCAGTCTGGGAGATCGTACTTGTCGTGCCTGTCGAAGCGCCGAATCTGGTCGTCGTGATGTACGAAGCAGGCACGTCGATAATGACCGTACCTGGGGCGGGCCCAAGCTGCGACACCGTGCTTGTGGCCGCCGCCGCCGCTCCGAATCTGGACGACGTGACGTATGATGCGGGAATCTGTACGACAATGGTTCCTGGAGCTCCGTCGCTCTGCGAGATTGTACTGGTAGCTGCTGTCGTTTGTCCATAGCGGGTAGTCGTAACATAGGATGCAGGCACCTGCACGACAACTGTCCCTGGTGCTGTGTCGCTTTGGGAGACTGTGCTTGTTACTGCCGTCGTCTGTCCGAAGCGAGTTGTCGTAACATACGAGGCTGGTAACTGCACGACCACCGTTCCTGGGGCTGTGTCCGTCTGGGAGACTGTGCTGGTGGCTGCAGTGGTTTGACCATAGAGTGTCGTGGTCACATATGAACCCGGGACTTGAACGACGATGGTGCCTGGGGCAGGACCAGTCTGCGAAATGGTG